GTCGGTCCCCTACTACCGCCTCTTCCCCTACCGCACTCCGTCCCTCCCCCCACCACCGCTCTTCCTTGTGCCAAGTCCCCCCAAGTAGACCCCCTCCCCCCTCAGGGTCCTGCCCCTTCAAGTGTGTCCCAGGTAGACGCAGTCGAGCCTGTCGAGGTTACTGGTGACTCTGGTGCTGCTGAGGGTGCTGGGCCTGGGGGTGCTGACGCTGGGGGTGCTGAGCGTGTGGGTGCTACGCCTGGGGGTGCTGAGCCTGAGGGTGCTACTACTGGGGGTGATGAGCCGGGAGGTGCTACTACTGGGGGTGCTGAGCCTGGGGGTGCTGAGCCTGGGGGTGCGGAGCCTGGGGGTGCTACGCCTGGAGGTGCTGAGCCTGGGGGTGCGGAGCCTGAGGGAGCTGGGCCTGCTCGTGTGGCGTCTGGCGGTGCTGAGCCTGGAGGTTCTCCGGGTGCTTCGTCTCGGCGGGAGCCACTCTCTCCACAGGAGCTGCGAGAGTGGTTTGCCCGACGCTGGAGGCGTGCTGCTGGAGCTGGGGGTTCTTCGGCTGCTGAGGGTGCTGGTGCCGCGGGTCCCGGAGGTGCTCGTACTGGGAGTACTGGAGCTGCTGGGCCTGCGGGTACGACTGGAGCTGGAGCTACTGAGGGTGTTGGCGCTGAGGCTACTGCTGTCGGTCCTGGAGGCGGTCCTGCTGGGGGTGCTACTGGTGCTGCTGGAGGTACTGGAGCTGGAGGTGCTGCTGGCGCTGGTGCTGCCGCTGGGGGTACTGGTGCTGTCCCTGCTGTGTCTGGAGTCGCCGCGCGGCCTCGGCCGTACTTCGTTCCGCTCCTTCAGCAGGTTCTTGGTCTCCCGCCTTCTACTGGTCCTCCTCCTCCTCCCTTAGAGTGTCCACAGCCTGTCCCGTCACAGTTACAGTTACAGCCGGCCTCCCCACTGCCCGCTCCTTCTCCCTACACTGGTCCTACTGGAGGTCTGGCTGAGCGTCGTGAGCCTGCGTCTCGCCCTGCGTCGCCTGTCCGTCTTGCTCGCACTAGTGGTCGTGGTTCGCGTCAGCGTCCTCCTCCTGTCCCTGGCACGCACCGGATGTCTCTGCGTCCGTCCACTGCTCCTCTGCGTGCCCCTTTGCCTTCTCCTCCTGAGTCCTCTCTTCCTGCTCTTCCCGACCCGGAGTCGGACTCTCTTCGTGCTGCCAGTCCTACTGTCACGCGTCTCCTTGCTACTGTCGTCACTGACCCTTCCTTTGAGTCCACTGCTGCGTCTGCCCTAGTTGCTGAGCTCGTCGACTTTGCTGCTCGCTGTCGTCTAGACTACGCTGCTAGTCTTGTCGTTGAGTCTGAGTCTCTCTGTCCTCCGTCCATCGGGGGTGAGTGTGCCCTTGGCACGGACGTCCTTGAGGACAGGCAGGAGGAGTTCCAGTGTTTGGCTGCTGCTTCACCTCATCTCGTGTCCGTACTGCTTACCCCTGAGGGAGACCCGGATGCACTTGACATCCCGACTCCGCGCTCTTACGCGGAGGCGATAGAGGGTCCCTACTCCTCTCAGTGGCAGGCAGCTATGGACACAGAGATGGCTTCCTGGAAGTCCACAGGCACCTACGTTGACGAGGTTCCCCCGCCTGGGGCGAACATCGTCAGTGGCATGTGGATTTTCAAGGTGAAGCGGCCGCCGGGTTCTCCGCCTGTCTTCAAGGCGCGTTACGTGGCTCGTGGCTTCAGTCAGCGGCAGGGAGTTGACTACTTTCAGACCTTCTCTCCCACCCCGAAGATGACCACTCTTCGGGTACTGCTGCACATAGCTGCTCACTGCGACTACGAGCTGCACTCTCTTGACTTCAGCACTGCTTTCTTGCAGGGCAGCCTGCACGAGGAGATCTGGCTGCGTCGCCCACCTGGCTTCACTGGGTCTTTTCCTCCTGGCACCCAGTGGAGCCTTCGGCGGCCAGTCTACGGTCTCCGCCAGGCACCGCGTGAGTGGCACGACACACTGAGGACTACACTTGCGGCTCTTGGGTTTGCTCCCTCTACTGCCGACCCGTCGCTGTTTCTGCGCACCGACACTTCTTTGCCGCCGTTCTACATCCTCGTGTACGTCGACGACTTGGTCTTTGCCACAGCTGACACTGCTGGACTCGCCCACGTGAAGTCCGAGCTGCAGAAGAGACACACGTGCACAGACCTGGGTGAACTGCGCAGCTACCTTGGCTTGCAGATCACCCGGGACAGAGCACGCCGCACCATTACCCTGACTCAGTCACACATGGTGCAGCAGGTCCTTCAGCGCTTCGGCTTCACGTACTCCTCGCCTCAGGCCTCTCCTCTGCCTACTCGCCACTCGCTCTCAGCTCTGCCTTCGGATGAGTCCGTAGAGTCGAGTGGCCCGTACCCAGAGCTTGTTGGCTGCCTCATGTACCTGATGACCTGCACACGACCTGACCTCGCATACCCTCTTAGCATTCTCGCTCCTGGGAGACACAGACCGGAGCACATGGCTGCAGCGAAGAGGGTGTTGCGTTACTTGTGCAGTACGTCGGGCATGGGGCTTGTGCTTGGAGGGCAGAGTCCAGTGGTCCTCACTGGGCACGCAGACGCTTCTTGGGCTGACGACCAGGCTACGCAGCGGTCGTCACAGGGTTACAACTTCAGCCTTGGTTCCGGCTCTGTTTCGTGGCGGGCTACCCGCTCGTCTTCTGTTCTCGGCTCCAGTTGTGAGGCTGAGATCTACGCCGGGGCCATGGCTGCACAGGAGCTTCGCTGGCTCACCTACCTGCTGACTGACCTCGGAGAGCCGCCTCGTTCTCCTCCAGTGCTGTACGTAGACAACAAGGCCATGCTGGCCTTGTGTCGAGAGCAGAGACTGGAGCACAGAACGAAGCACATTGCTCTCCGCTACTTCCTTGCTCGTGAGCTACAGCAGCGTGGTCAGCTGCGGCTTGCGTACGTGGCCTCTCAGGCCAACACTGCTGATATCTTCACCAAGGCACTTGCGCCCTGTGATCATCAGCGCTTCTGTACTCAGCTGGGTCTTGTACCTACCTTGCCTCACTTGCTCACCCCTTGACCTTGTTTGTACTGTTTCATATATATATATACACCTGCTCTTGCTTGTCTAGCCTTATATATATATGTAATCCTGCATGTGAACTGGCCTTGTGGCCTTGAACTTGTGCTCGGAATGTGTGGTGACTTTGTGATCCACCCTGAGCTTGCTTTGCTTTGCTTGACTGGTCTTGTGACCCCTTGTTCTCCCCCACTTTGCCTATGGGGGTGTGTCAGATTTATATGATATAACTGCTGTAGGCTATAGTGGGGTAGCACATATGGGGTACAGTTTCCTAGGGTTTGCTTTTTTGTACCCAACTTTCACTTAGTCATTTCATTCCTCGTTTCTTCTCAGTAGACGCTCGTGGTGTTTCGTGGCGACAGCTTCGTGACAGCTCACGGAAACACCTGACGATTTCGCGAAGTTACGTGACGAAATTACGAAGTCGCCGAAATCCTCCTCGCACAATTCGCACCTGCGTCGAAATTAATCGCGCACTTCGTGAAACACCCTGGCGAATGCTCTCCTCGGATAATGCAGACAAAACACTCGAGGGTCCCACGAAATCCAACCTGGACCCACGATTTCTCGACTTTTTCCCTCGCGCCACCTGCACACCCCAGTTGCGCGTGTGGCAAATCCATCTGCAGCCTCAGGCCTCGCGTGTGCACATGCTGGCACACTACACCTGATGCGCGTTAGAGTCCCCCAAGGGGCCCTTGTCCTCTGGGCTTATAACCGATTATGCGTTTTCGTAGAGTTCGTCAACATCGCCTGGGCCGTCGGGGGCTTTTAAAAGGCACAGGCGGTAACATGTTTGTTTTTTCCTGATACAGTGGCGGGCGGCGTGTTTTGTTCCGAGCTACTGCACTTGGTTAACACTTTTATCAAGGCCTTGCTATCACATGCAATTACAACTCTCCTCTCCATCCGTCACAAACATCAGCAAACCAATAGGATAGCCCCAACTGTACCCTGGCCACTAACCCACACCCCCTTCCCCCCAGCCCGTTAATGCAATCACCGTTTACCACAGGTGTGCATGAGTCGTGCACATTTGTGCAAATGGGGAAATTTGCACCCCTCCTTGGTGGACTTCACATCCTCATCCACTCAGCCGCAGCGAGATAGCCGCCCATCACGGCGGGAGCGCCAGCGTCGATAAGCTCCTGGCAGCGAGCAGACTGGGCAATCCAGTCAGGGGTCGGCACCGTCATCCATGCCGGCAGAACGCGACCGAGGCGACGTGGAGTCTCTGCCGGCGGAGTGTCCTAGTGTGTCATCACGGGAGGCAGAGTCGCGTTAAGGTTAAGAGCTGGGCTTGCGCGCTCCATCCGTGCGATGATGAGGGGGTTGCGGATGTCAAACAGCGCGCACAGATCCCTCGGCGTGATGCACGTAGCACGCGCGTAGCCAACAAGCATCTCGCAGGCGGCGCGAGCCGTGCGACGTGCTTCGCGCGTCGCAGGGTTGCTGTCGTCGTACACCGCCTGCATCGACGCAGGCACCTCCCACATGTGCGACGTGTGCATCGCGGCCGGCTCCATCGCCAGGGGGTCCTCGCCCGGCTCGGCTCAAATCGGCTGGTTGTCATCTATGCCGACGAACTCCGCCGCAGCCATCGCGGACGGCCCGAGGCAGAGGCTATCGATTAAGATGCCGACGCCGTGCATGTCCTCGTCCAGGCCGATGTCACCGCCAGCCTGGGCCTGAGGGTCGGCGGGGCGTTCCACGTGCGGGAGTTCCATCGCCCACGCCCGCGGGAGGCACTCGGTGTGCCACCAGCAGCGCTGGATAGTGCTCCGCGGGATGTTCATATACGCGTCATGGAGCCACTCCAGCACGCGACGGAGGTTCGGCTTGAACCTCGCAGCCGCGGAAGTCGCGCCGTCTGCAGTCCACATGCCGGTGAAGGCGCGGAGCCAATGCTGGCGGTACCGCGCCTTCGTCATGGCGATCATCCCCTAGTCGAGGGGCTGCGTGAAGCAGGTGGTGTTAGGCGGCAGGTACACAAGGCGCACATTCTTGAGCGCACGCGTGCGGAACCCGAAGAGATCTTCGGTCACCGCGCCCTCGGTTGTCAGGGTGTGACTGCTTGCGTTGTCGAGCAGCACCACGATGTGGCAGCCCTCGGCGTACATGGCAGCGTCCAGCTGCTCAATGAAGTGCGTGAAAAGCTGTCACGCAAAGGGTTCACACGCAAAGACAGAGGAGGGGAAGGGGGGGGGGGGGGGTGGTTTGATGCATGGGGGGTTGATACAGACTAGGAGAAACAATGACTTTGAAATATAATGCAAGTGCTACTCGGGTCATTTGATTGAATGAAAGCATACCTTCGTCATCCATCCCTTTGCAGTGTTGCGCCAGTAGCAAAACTCCTCGGGATCGAAGTCGGGCCTGAAATCGTGGGGACGCTTAGCCTTTGAGATGACGAGCGGGCAGAAGGCGTGCGAGCCCTCCGCGTTAACCAATAAGCCGACGGTGAGACGTTCCTTGGGGAGCTTCCGGCCCGCCGATCGGCCCGTGCCGTACGTCTTGCGCGGAAGCACAGAAATGTACAGCGCGGTTTCGTCGAAGTTGAACGTATCACGCGGGCGCACGCCGAGATGCGTGAGAAGCTGTGGAAGCTTCTCCTTGGTGGTGCGCACGGCGTTCAGATCCTGGTCGGCTGCCTCGCCGATGGCGCTCATGCACCGGAAACCCTGGCGGCGCAACGTACGTCGGACCCAGCCAATGGAGCAACGAAATGTCACAGGAGTGCCGTTCGCAGCAGCCATCGTCGCGACATGGTCACGAATCGTCGCCAGGGTGAGCGGGACGCCAGCGGGGCCTGCATTGGCAATCCAGCGTGCCATCGCACGCTCCAACTCCGGGTATGCCCTGCCTCGCACGCGAATGGCGTCCTTCTGGTTGTGTCTAGGGTTAGACGCACCTGGTTGTGTCTTAGGTGGCATGACGTAACCGCAGGAATGGTTTGCGACGTTTTACGAATTTCGACCAGCCATTTTGTAGATTCTGTTTCTGTCTTAAAAACAAGGACCAACCCGCACGACAGTGTTTGTCTCTTGCTGCTCTATTAGGTTTGGGAGTATTCACCAGGTGGATGCAAGAGTCTCAGGTGCTTATACACTAGGTGCAACACCAGGGCAAAAAACCCACGGGTGTAAGGTTTCCGAAATGTGCAAGGCATTTTCGCGTGCAGGGGGTGAGCATCATGTGTACTACCCACTTGGCGCCACCCCCATGATTGCGCCAGAATCAGTACAGTTCTCGGCACCCCTACAATATCTTGACCAGGGGTGAAATTCTCCGAACTCCCATGAACAAACACGAAATTACGAATGCACTCATAAAAACGCACCTCACAAACTTTGCCTAAAAACTCATGAACTCATACGGAATTACATGAACACATCACGAAACAGACTCATGATCATTCACGACATTTACACGAAAACTCGTGACTCGAAGAACACATGAAATAACACGAAGACATACGTGAGAGTTTAAACACACATAAACACACATAAACTCTCACAAACACAGACCTTCACGAAAACTCTCATAACTCATGAACCGCTGGGGCGATTCACAAACCGTAAACGCCCAAACGTAAAGCACAAAAACTCCCATCTCACAAAACACAAATTACCTTAACTCAAACCGTCAGTCGTGGGTGGTTGTTACGAACCACTCCAACACTGTTGTCCCTGTTGACGCTGCTACTGCTGCAGTTGCTGCCAATAACTCTGATACAAAGTCAAAGCATATGCCAAAAACTGAGAAGCATGATGCTGCAAAGCTAAATGTGGAAGGAACAACAGCAAATAAGGCATCAAACGTGAAGGCTAAAGGAACGAAGCGGATGAGGAGGTGGATGAGTAGGGCTTAGTCGAGCATGGCCTTGAATAAGTGGCACGATGGCAGCTAAGGTAAAACTGGTGGGGTGATGTGGAATGATGGTGGTAGGGGTGCACCCCCTTTTTTCCATCCAGCCTGACAGGATGTTGTGGGAAAGATAGTAATGAATGTTGGATGGGTGGATGGAGAGAAAGGAATGGTTAGGAAGCCACTTTAGATCTGTTAATCATGTTTGTTCTAATAATTTCAATATATGCATCATGTTTTCATGCTCTGTTGTGGATGAGGGTGAATGGAGAGCATTGTATGGGGGAATTAGTGTGAAAGCAGTGAGTCTTGAGTTAGGCTGACCATGTTTCAGGCTGAGATGGAACTCATACTGATCAATCCGAATATTCACAAACACCAACTTGAACAATCATGGTGATTTTGACATAACGCCTGGTCAGTGGTTAATTGCAATGGTCAAAACATTGAGAAATGGTAAAAATAAGCAACAATCCAATGCAGATCCTAATGGCAAGAATGAACTGCAATGTTCAGGCTGAACACAATGACAGAAATTGTTCTGTTGTTCATAATGAAATGAATGAAGTATCAACTGAAACAAGATGGTGAAAAAATTGGTTGACAAAATATAATCTGAAAGAAGAATTAATCAATCTCGCCAAGGAGAACGAGCAGCAGTTGTCAGGATGATAGGAGAAATGGTAAGAATGTGAGGGATTCATGAGGTAGTCATGGGCCACTGCCATATTCCCACTGCCGTAATCCATTGTGATATTTCCCCTACCATGATCCACTGCTATGTTCCCTGCCTCAGCATCCCACAATCAGGAAGGTGGAGGGGTGGGGAGGGGGAGGGGGGACCGTTGTGAGGCTGACAGAAGTAATTTCACTTGCATTCATCTTCCCTTTGCCATGTTTCAGTCCAGTTCTCTTTGTCATTCGTTTGCCAGCTTCCCATTGCCATTTTCACATCAATTCTCCCTTTCGCCTTTATTTGTTTTCCAGCCAGCTTGCCATTGCGGGTTCTCTTATCCAGCCAGCTTGATGGTTGTGCTCGTGGATTCTCAGATGACCTGGCCTGGTGTGGGGATGAGGTGATGTGAGTGTGAGATGAAATGGGGTGATGTGAGTGCGAGGAATGAGATGATGAGAATCTGAGATGGACTGAGGTGATGTGAGTTGGAGATGAAATTAGGTAAGTGAGTGTGAGAAATGAAGTGAAGTCCCCTCATCTCATTGCTGCCATGTTGCTGGGGAGGACAAATGGCGAAGCACCAATGCAAGGGTAACTCATACTGCACTGCATATCTGGCTCTCCCTTCTTATTTTTCAATCCTCTCTCCTCCCCAGAACCATTTTTCTGTTCCACGTCCCATCCCAGTACCATAGAAACTTCTTACTTGTCGTTTTTGTTGTCAATGGCCCATTGTCCTTTTGTCCAGTCAGCGCACCATTGCACTTTGTCAGCCATTTCTGTATACAAACAAGGTTTACGCCCATTTTCCCAGCCAATTTGGTCGTCGCCAGCTTTCAGGCTACTTCCCTTTACCTTTTGTCCTATTGATTTGTCATTTTTTCTCATGGTTTTCCTTTTCCATCTTTCATGCTCATTACCTATTCATATTTTGTTCAATGTTCAGTCAACTTGCCATTTCCATTTTCCAGTCAGCCTCTCAGTTTCATTCATCTGGCCAAATTCCCATTGCCATTGTCCTGTTACTTGATCACCACCATTTGTTTTTGCCAACTTGATCAATCATGGTGATTTTGAAATCAGCAATTGTATGAATGTAAGGAAGTCACGAGGCGGACAGTCCATGCCTTACATTTGACTTAAACTCCCACTGCCATGTTCTGATATCTCACTGCCATGTTCTCATTCTCATTATCCCGCTGCCATGTTCCCATTCTCATTATCCCGCTGCCATGTTCCCATTCTCATTATCCCGCTGCCATGTTCCCATTCTTAATATCCCGCTGCCATGTTCCAATTCTCATTATCCCGCTGCCATGTTCCCATTCTCATTATCCCGCTGCCATGTTCCCATTCTCATTATCCCGCTGCCATGTTCCCATTCTCATTATCCCGCTGCCATGTTCCCATTCTCATTATCCCGCTGCCATGTTCCCATTCTCATTATCCCGCTGCCATGTTCCAATTCTCATTATCCCGCTGCCATGTTCCCATTCTCATTATCCCGCTGCCATGTTCCCATTCTCATTATCCCGCTGCCATGTTCCCATTCTCAATATCCCGCTGCCATGTTCCCATTCTCATTATCCCGCTGCCATGTTCCCATTCTCATTATCCTGCTGCCATGTTCCCATTCTCATTATCCCGCTGCCATGTTCCCATTCTCAATATCCCGCTGCCATGTTCCCATTCTCATTATCCCGCTGCCATGTTCCCATTCTGAATATCCCGCTGCCAGATGTGGCCATATTTTCAACCCAATTGTCTTTGTCATTTGCCCTGCCACCTTTCGGTTGCCATTTTTCACATTAATTTTCCATTTTCACGTTTTTTGTTGTTTTCCAGTCAGTTTGTCATTGCCAGTTCTCTTGTTAACTTCCCCATTGTCCCTTATCCAGCCAGCTTGATGGCTGTGCTCGTGCATTCCGGTATGACTTGGGGTGGGATGAGGTGATGGGAGTGTGAGATGGGATGAGGCGATGGGAGTGTAGGATGGGAGGAGCACATGCCAAGGCTCCAATGCAAGGGGAACTCCATGCTTCACATCTCGCTTTTCCATTCCCGATTTCTAATCCAAACTCTTGATCCCTCTCTCTACAAACTCGGACCCGAGGATACGGGCTGGTCTTGTACCAGGCACCCAAGGACCCTTGGAGGTGACCCCGAGGAGAGGTTTTAAGTGTGATAAAGTCTTAATAGCTTGAGTTTATTAGGCCTTTATACCAACACATTCGTCATTCACTTGTTTTCCTTTTGTCCAGTCAGCTTGCCGTTGCAATTTCTCAGCCTGCAACCTTTTTTATGGCCATTGCCATCTTTAGGCAACTTCCCCTTACCTTTTGACTTGTCAACTTGTCAATTTTCCGGCCTGCTGCTTGCTTGCTATTTTCCCTGTTCATTGGCCATTCGTTGTTCAGCCAACTTTCTATCCCGATCTCCAGTAAACTTCTCGATTTCAGTCATCTTGCCGGATTTTAGTTTCCATGTTCTTCTCATTCTTGTTCCCAGGTTCTCATTTGCCGATATTTAGCCTAGTCGATTGCCCATTGCTTGACATTTTCCAATTATCTTCACTTCACACATTTGTTGTCCTGGCAACGTCTTATTGCCATCTGGTCCAGCAAAGTTCGCATTGCCATTCCTTCCCTAATGCAGTTTGTTTCCAGCCAGCTTTCAACTGTAATTTTCAGGTCTTTGCTAAATGTTGAATTAGTCAACTTCTCATGTCTATTACTCATTGCTCTTTTTTCCCTGACCAGCTTGTTGCTATCTTCCCACACATTGGCCATTTCCATTTTACTGTTGCAATCTCTTCCTTTGCCACCTCATCTTGACACTGCTCACTCATGCGTGGGCCGCTACAGGATCGCCCCATCCACGCGTACATCATCCCAGCACCCATCTCTCCTCCCACAACGTTTCAATTTTATGTCTCCCAAGTCACGGCATAGAGGCACCACTCCCACTCAATCTTGTCTTACCCTACCTACTTCTCTTTATCATTTGTATTCTCATTAGTTTCCTGTTGCCAATTCCCCTGCTAAGTTCGCTTTCGTTTTTCCAGGCACCTTCCATTTCTTTTGCCTGTTACATGGTATTGCTATGTTTGCAGTCAATTCTTTATTC